TCCATCCATCCATCCATCCATCCATCCGTCTATTGTCCATCCATCAATCATCCATCCTTCCATCCATTGAACCATCATCTATTTATCCATCAATCCTTCATCGAACCATCATCCATCCATCATCCATCCATCCATCCATCATCATCACACTCATTCGTAACAACAGACCCACAATCCCAGACTCATGGAGAACCTCGAGGAAAACAATCAAATGCCTTCTCTAAATCCACAAACCATGTGGACCGGATGCTCAAACTGGACGTTTGCTCCTCCTCCCCAAAACACCAAGTTTCTAAGAACTGCTCAATGTTTTGTTTTTATTGTGTATAAGAAGTTCCTTCAAAGGGTGGTTGGTAGGTTAAGTGTTCAGGAGAGATGTTTTCATCATCTCAGTGTCTGAACCACTCAGAGCTCTGGTTCAGTCAGGTTGGTCACTTTGTGCCACATTAACCTCTTTAAAAAACATCTCTTGAAGAAGCCAAAAGGTTTCGTGGCAAAGATGGGACCTTTCGTAAATAAAAGGCAGGATGGTGGAAAATAGATGAAAGGAAAGAAGCTTAAAAAGCTGCTTTCTGCTGCGTTTCTCTGACTTATTGTTATATTTCTCTTTCTTGATGCACAACTTGGACAACTTGGCAGGAAAAAAAAATCTCATTCTGCGAAGTGGCTGCAGCGATTTATGGAAAACATTAAGCTTATTTGGATGGTGTCACAAACGCATCGTCTGAATGGATTTAACGTAATGACTTTTGTCAGAGCTGCGTTTCAGTAACACTTAAAGGAAAACAGATGGCTGGGAAAGGTGTGTTATAATTATGGAGCAACCCTGCTGTACGTTCATCAGATCAGAGGACAACCAGAGCCACACGAGCCAAAGAAAGAAAATCAGTTTGTAGGAGGTTCAAGTCTAAAAGCAGAAGAAAAATAAAAACCACTTCAAACAAATTCACTGCAAACAGAAGTGTTTMTTCTTCCCGTCTCTTCAGGGGAGCTGACATCTTGTTCTGATGTGGATTCTGAGCGTTTGTGAAAGAAACCATTCATCATTTCCTGCAGTAAATCCTACCTCCATCATGTCTATGAGCCACAGCAGCCTCTCCTACGCAGGCAGGCGAAGGAGGYGAGGGGAGGGGTTGTTATGAAAAGAGAGCAAAATAAAACCTATAAAATATCAGCTGGAAGACTATTGTATCTCAGCAGGTGGAGCAGTGAATGTGTGATCCGTCCAAACAGCTAAAGAATCTTTAGAGAAACATCCGAGGCCCAGCAGGAGACCCGGTTTGGACTGACCCGTGCTGAGCTCAGGGTGGTGTTGGTCATGAAGCTGGCTGAGGACGAGGTCAGCGTGTCCGGGTACGACACCATGGACAGGGAGTCCGGCTGCACGGCCCCGACCCCGGCTGGACCCTGTCGAGCTTTCAGAGCCTGAATCTCCCGCCGGAGCACCATCCCGTCAAACCGCTCCAGGTCCTGGGGGGCCACCAGACCCCGGACCTCCGACAGCAGAGAGAACTGAGAGGAGAGAGGAGAGTTAACTCAGCACAGAGTCTGCTCCAGGGATCTYCACTAACGTTTTGCACTGGTTGCACCTAAATATGTGAACACATCACATTTAACATTGATGTTTTAATTGTTCACTTTTTTAAATCATTGTCTATTAAAGCAATAATAACTCACAAATAATTTTTTAACAATCCAGCAAAAATAAAGTTCTGTATTTGAACCAGAATCATAGACTTATAACTTACTGAAAAGTCATTTTAAAGTGATTCTGTGACCTGAAGTTTTAACTTAAACATCATAAATAAAATGAGAGAAATTCTAAATTCTAAGTACAAATGTTTAAAAGCTGAACATTTTATAAACATCTTAAACATTTCATGGTTTTATCTTAGACTACACCTGCCCCTCAAGATGGACAACTCCTGTAGTTTGGCCTTCAGGATCTTTGGCCTCGACTAAACCAGACTGATGAACAGAGAATTATGATTAACAGCAGAAATATTACTAATATTTATTAAATGAGAAAAAGCTTTTTAAAATAATGAAAATAACATGAAAAAGTCTTCAATTTAATTTGTATTAGCTGAATTGTTTGTATCTCTCACTAAAAAAAACTAAGCGGTGTAGTCATAAAACCATTTTCAGAACCTGGAACATAACTGTGGTGAACCTGATTATATGTAAAAGCGGCCTGCCATATAGGTGAGCCTCCTTCATGCTGCTGGAGTGATCTGCTGCAGAGCAGAACCCGACTGCAAGGTGGACCTTACTACTGAGACTTAAGAGCAGCAAACATCCACATTTAATTCCCACATTTAACAAGAAAAACAAAGTTTTTCCAACTGGTTTGAAAAAACAAACAAACAAACAAACAAACAAAACACGGTTAATTCAATGCGCACCAGAGCGAGTGTGCGTGCATGTTTTTGCTTCACTGAGGGGACAATTGGAAAGTCTAAAGTCCCCATGAGGATAGAAGAACAAGTGTGTGTGTGTG